TGTTTTTTTTTCCCCAAAATCGATAAGACCCAAAGGAGCAGGTACAAGAAAGGTGGACTTTTAACCCTGGAACCTGGGAAATTCCTGTTGGGCCACTGCAAAAAATTATTATTAAAACGATTTTTTTAATCGTGTATTCCAATTTTAGGGAAAAAAACCCCGATAAGGTTATTAATCGATTTATTTTAAATACCTAACCCAAATATAAAAGTGGAAATTTCCATCAAATACATAGGAAAATTTTGTTAGCTATGCTTAAATTTCTTTGGCCTTTTAAAAAATATAATTTAACACTAAAAAATCTTTGGTGTCGGCCCGGGGCGTTCAGCTTTTCCTTTCCCCCTTTTTTGGAAAATTTTAAAAAATTTTCTAAAAATTATTTTCATGTTTTAAATTTCACAGTAAAACTTTTTGTGGCTAGGTTAATTAGGAAAAATTTCATTTTTTTCACCCCCCAACAATCTTTTGGGGGTGGTTTCCCCCTGAAACCGTTTGGGGTTGTCTTCCCTCAAAAGAAACACGTTAACGAAAAAACCCAAATTTTAGGTCAAATAGTTCAAAAACGGAATGCTTATCTAAATAACGCCTCTTAGCTCCTCGCAAACTCTTCTTGGGAATCAATTTCCGAAAAACTAGTGTGGCTGCGGTGCCTAATGGTCAAGGTATCGAATCGTGGCTGGCTTGCCACGAGTTCGAGTCCAGTACCACTAAAGACCCGCCATGTAGGGGAGCGATGCACGTTAAATATGTAGAGAGCTCAAACGCCCTTCCGTTGGTATGGTAGTTAGGAGGTGGGGGTGCCAGCTCAGCTGTCATTCTCATCACTTGAACATGGTTTAAAATTACGCGGTCCATCGCAAAAAGCTCTCATGTAGCTGAACAGTGCGACGGTAATGCTCACTTACTCACTCCGTAAGACTCGTATTTAATGGATCTCTACTCATCAAAAGAAACATGATCGTAAAACTTTATATCTGTAGGCTTCATAGTTTCGGAGATATTTGACGAGTGTGTGAGTGAGTAGTTTTTCTTTATATATATACGGGGTGTTGCCGAATTCGACCGACAAATTCAGAGGAGTTATAGTAGGCAGCGTTGGGACGACAAATCACTCTAGAACATGCGGTCACACACCAGGTTTAAGCTGAGTAATTCGCAAAAAACACTTACGAAGGGAGGGATCTCTAGTGGGGGTAATAAGGGGTAAGAAATACATTCATTAGACGTAAAGCATGATTACTATACGAACGATGAATCGCAGCTTGACGTCAGAAATTTAACGACAAGTAATTGTCACAGGAATTGGGCAAAGTTGCGTCTGCGTTGGTCATGTCACTGCAGACTGCCACAGCGGAAGGATTATCGGGCACGTTCAAACAAATCCGGTGTGCTGGTGATATCAGCTGAAGTGACGAGGATCCGTGCCAGCAGTTTCACCACTGCAGCCACCGGTGTCTTGTCCACAAGAGATTTCAGCTTGCCCGTTTGATGAAATATGAAGGAGTAAGATCCGGGAAGCGTGGAGACCAAGCATCTGGTCCACGACATCCAATCCACCTCCCTGTATAAGTAGCAGTCAGGTGGTTACGCATCACAATCGAAAAATGTGTGGGTGCACTATCGTGCATAAATCACATGTTCTGCTGCACAGTGGTTGGTACACCATGCAGCCACTCCTGGGAAAGGTGAGAAACCTCATAGGTTAAGGTTTTTTCAACCCTACCACGGAGCTCGAAATCCTCGCATTTATTTGGTCACTCACCTAATCTGGCTCATCGTCCTTCCGACGCCTATTATTATTGTGTGATTTCCACAAATGAACGTAGCTTGCTCCCCACGTTCTATGTTGATTTTTCATCCCCATGCTTCCTACTATCACCCTTCTAAATTGTCCGATCAAATTCGCAGAGAGGCTGCAATCAGATAGCTCTTTAATTTCAGCTATCTGATTCAACCGGCTCAATTTCATCATTGTTGTTTGATAAAATACAAGCTCCATCACACATCTCAGTTCGAAACTATGTAAATAAGGCAAATTTGTTTCCTAAAAAGTTATATCCGCAAAAGCATAAATTAAAGTAATTATAGAAATCAAAATTCTGGAAAAAGGTATATTTTTAAAAAAATTCTGTAACTAAAAAGCAAGGTTTTGCAATAATTAATTTAACCTTAAATGTTATAGGTTGATTCCTATTAACCTGCACTAGGATTTCTTATGCATTAAAATTATATAAAAAGATATTGCAAGACGAAATTAAAATACTATAGGTTTCGTCAAAGTTCGACATTAATGTTATCTTTGAAACTTCGTAAATGTTGCTAATGTTCAATCAAAGTTCAAAAAAACTACCAAAAAAACAATTTAGGATCAGGAAATGTGTTTAAAATTAATACTTACTCTTATTACGTAAAGTCCTCTCGCAATCGTTCAGTACATAATAGTTTAAAACAAAAATGAGTTAAGAAAGTTAAGAATTATATATTAAATTGTGCGGTACAAAAATAATATAACAAAAATTTGATGTCCTGTTTTAAATTCTAACTACTGGATGTAATCTGACATTTTATTGGAAAAATTACATTTAAAATATCAAGTTCATATGCAAAAATTTATATTTAAAAAAAATTCCCTGCTGTAACTTTTGTTAAAAGAGAAAAGATAAAATAAAAATTAAGAGCAAAATAGCAATTAGTTAAGTATTTTAAAATATAATAATTCCTTTTATGAACGAAAATAATATTAAAGTCATATCTCTTCCCCGACAGCGCCTAGTAAATTCTAGAAATAGAAACATAGTTTTGCTACAAAATGATATTTAAATCCTCTAGGAATCACGGATAAGTAAGGCTTTCTATATCGGTTCCTTGTAGTGTTACGTGATTCGCAAACATGAGAAACGCTTTGAAACAGTGTTCCAATGCCGCAGTCCAAAGGGAAGAATGTATATCGGCTTTCTGAACCAATAATATTCACTTAAAAGTGAAATCAATTTCTTTTAGGTAATGTAGTAATAAATAGAAATGCTGAAAAAACACATTACAGATTTTATTCTGTTTTTTTCAATTCCTACTATTAGTTCACACTCTCCGATATATATATTAATATATATACAAGGTGTATCTAAACTCTGCGGTAAAACTTTAAGGGGTGATAGTACACATCAAGACAAACAATAGTAAATAGGAAACTTAGGGTCTCACACACAAAGTCTTCCGAAGGAGATAGGTGCCACTAAAGTTTAGGGTCCGAAATTTCAAATAATTATAAAACGGAAAATGGGTCGATTCGTTAGCGGTTTTCACTAAAATTAAAGATAAAGCTAAAAAAATATCGATAGAGGGTGCTTTAGACTTTGGAGTAACGAACAACTTTTTTTTACTGTTATTTTTTGTATCACATTAAATGATTTCAAAAGCTTAGACTTAAACTTAAATTTTGAGCTCAAAATTTGAATCGTTGGGGGTGGTTAAGTAGCGGAAACTCAACTGTGTTCAGGAGGTGAAATTTGAACTCACTTCCTTCCCTGGACCCAGTTTAGTTATTCATGATGTTCGATGCTCGGTTTGTAGACTAGACAGCAGCTACTACCCACTAAACGTAAAATAAACAAGAAAAGGATGACAAAATTAAATAAAAAGATATTCATAACATACATAAGCAATTTCTCCCCGCAAAATACCCGATTTGCATGCAAAGTGTAGTACACAAGGATTTAACTGCATGGTGCTAATTGTATGTAAGAATGTAGAGTTCTACTGCAAAGAGTTCCAGCCAACATAAAGGCCCGTATGTGGTTCCAACATGACGGAGCGCCGGCCCATTTCAGCGCAGATGTGCGAACAGCATTGGATACAGCATATCCAGGGCGATGAATTGGGCGGGATGGTCCGGTAAATTGGCCAGCACGCTCGCGTGATCTCTCCTGCCTAGACTTCTTCCTCTGAGGCCATATGAAGAGTCTTGTTTACACAAGCCCCGTCGACTCCGACAAGGCCCTGGTTGCGAGGATTGCCGTCGTAGCAGGCGAAATCCGGGAAATGCCCGGGGTATTTGCTAATGTTCAACATTCCCTCCGCCGGCGGTGTGAGGCCTGCATCTTTGCTGGTGGACAGTTTTTGTGATTCCAAATGAAAAATTATGGGTGTACCATTTTCTACGTGTCATCATTCATTCAACCTTCATTCATGCGCACTACGTACGTACATCCAATTGTTTCTTTTTATTTCGAGCAGAGAAGTTTCTCATGTCTAATATGAATATTTTTTTTTATTTTGTCATTCTCTCTCGTTTACTTTACGTGTAGGAGGTAGTAGTTGCTGCCTGGTCTACGACACCAAGATCGGGAATAACTGAACTCTGTTCAGAGGGAATGGAGTTTCAAATTTCCCCTCATGAACACAATTCCGTTTACGCTACTTAACCACCCCAACGATTCAAATTTTGAGCTCAAAATTTAAGTTTAAGTCTAAGCTTTTGAAAGCATTTAATGTGATACGAAAAACATCAGTAAAAAGAAGTTGTTCGTTTCTCCAAAGTCTATCGACATTTTTTTAGCTTTATCTTTAAAATTTATTTTTCAAGAAAATATTGACAAAAAGAATAATTTTAGTGAAAACCGCTAACGAATCTACCTTTTTTTAACAATCATTTGAAATTTCGGACCCTCAACTTTATAATGGCACCTATCTCCTTCGGAAGACGTTTGGGACCCTAAGTTTCCTATTTATTATTGTTTGTCTTGATGTGTACTATCACCCCTTAAAGTTTTGCATCAGAGTTTAGATGCACCCTGTATATCTTATTCAAATTTTCAATCGTTAATAAAATACTTTTTATTTATCCACTCGAGATTCAAATACATTTTTTAAACTTGTAGTGCATGACACTTGATGTTAATGTAGTTTTTTCAAATATTAATTCATTGATTAAGTTTAATCAATCAATAAATAGTAACAAAAATAATAGTCTAACACCATACATAAAAAGGAAAATATCTCGTGTCCATGTAGCGCTAAGGATAGCGCGTTGAACCTTTAATTCAAAGGTCATGGTTTCGAATCCCATCTGGGATGGCCTAATTTCTGAGATGATTTTTTTAACTACCCTATTTTACTGAAATAATTAAATTTAATTAATAAACAAATAGTAACAAACAAAAATAATAGTCCAACACCTTATATAGAAAGGAAAATGGGAAATTGCAAGGAAAATCGCTTTCTATTTCGCCACTTAATTGTGTGATTCTGTCAGATATTTATACATATTTATATTAATTGTAATTATTTAATAAAAAGTAACTAAAATAAAAATTTTCTTTTTTAACCTAAGTAGGAGTCGACTTTTATATATATATATTACTTGTTTCGTTAACGCTGTTAGTGGTATTGTAGGATTACTTACTCTTTCAAGATGATATTTAATTGTAAAATCTTAGTATTGAACAACTTTCTTTTGGCTTTAAGTGTACAAATATCTTGTAAAATAATTTCACACACAAATTTGTGCAGTAAGAAAAGAGTTTCAGTAGCTACATCTTTTACAAATTATTTCAGTAATATAAAACAGCATCCTTTTTTAAACAAACAAATTCCCCACAGGATAAAGGTTTTGCAAAATATAACTTTTTCAAAATAAAATTTGAGAGTTCTTGTACCTTATGAGATATATTACTACGTAATAATAATTAAAACGTTAATGTTAAACACTTAATCGTCATCGAAACTTATTATTAGCAGAATGCTATTGGCAACGAACTGTTTTGTTGACTTCGAGTTGGCGGTAAAGAGCATGGCTCTCATTAAGATGTAAAATATCACTTAAATCATTCTTTATTACGATTTCTCCTCGTATTCTTACGTTTTATAAAAATTTTATCTAGTTTACAAACCTGTGTTCTTTGAGTAAGCGATTCTTTTACTTTTTAAAATGATTAGTCAAACTCAACATGATTTATGGAGCCACCAGTGAGGAAGAATATTCTATTCGGTAAGTCGAATCATTCGCATTGATATTCAATTTTTTTGTGCAGTATTCTATTTTATTGAAAGTTATTCAAGTTTGTTTAACAACTTAATTCAAGTCTGTTTTTATTTTTATTCTGCTTTGAATGTAAACAAATTATCGAAGTAATTAATCTATTCGAATACTTTGAGGCATTTTAATTATTGAAGAATGTGTACTTTATTGTTATACACCTTTAAAATTTCTTGTTATGGCGAACATTCTTATTCATTATTATTCTGAAGTGAAAAATAATCAGTAAATTAATATGGCTACGAATACTGATCAAATAAAAAGATCTGTTCTTGCAACTGTGCCAACAAAATTAATGGTTCAAATAGAAGATCAGTTAGCAGATGAAAACTCTAATCTAGAGCAACTAAGTTAAGAAGTATCAGGGGTGTTAAATTTCTCTAGACGGCTGAAAATATAAAAAATTTTCAAATAGGTATAATTCTTTTAAATTTAAATTAAATATTTCGAATTTCTTACACATTATTTATAATAGAATAGGGCTTCAGAAAAGTGTAAAATGTTTAAAATATAATCATAATTTAAAAAATTATAAGCATACGAAAATAAGAAACATTTCTATAAGAAATATTAATTAAGTTTTACGTTGCGCATTTATAATATTATAGTTAATTTATAAAGTTAAATGTATCGTTATTACACTGTAGTATTTTTAGATAAATAGAATAGTAAATTATGTTTTTAAAAAAATAAAAAATTACATTTTCAAAATTTTTTTTTTAATTATTTCAATATCTTTCAAATATTTTGAAATACAAAAGATATTTATTCTTAAATAGTGTAGGGTTTAAAGAGTATGATACATTGTATAATTCTATAAAGTTTTATACATCAGAGGCTACTATTTTAGAAAATAGCGTGCGCAACTCAAAAATTACTTAATATTTATTACAGAATTTTCATATGCTTATAATTTTTTTAATTATGACTATATTTCAAACGTTTTGTACTTTTTTGAAGCCCCAATCTCTTGTAAATAATGTGTAAAAGATTTGAAGTATTTATTTTAAATTTAAAAGAATTATACCGGTTTGAAAATTGTTTATATTTTCACCCTCGAGACAAAACTAACACCCCCGAGACCTCTTAAAACAAGTAATTCTTGATTGAAAAAAAAATAAATTCAAAAATTAAATCTTGAAATCGAAAGCGCTACAAAGGACTTTAAAGGAATTGCAAATAGGAATCGAATCTGGTCAAGAATATTCAAAGAAATGATTAATGTTAAATTTGATGTTGAAGCGTTTTTAAAAACGCAAAATACCCATTGAATCTCATCATTTTAATTCAAAACCGCAAAATGCGTTACTTTCAAAATCCAATATAAAACCACCCAAATTCGATCTTATAGTTTTTAAATTCTAAATAAGTGATTGGCTGAGTCTCAAGCAATCTTTTTGTTCTACTATTCGTGGTATAATTCTGATCCGACGAACCATCAAAAATTACAATACTTACAGGCATGTATACAAATAATAGAGCTGGATCAATAAAAGTTCCTTGATCGTTGCTTCAAATTATTCTGAGCCATGGGAGACCTTTAACAACCGTTATAATAATAAACGTGAGTTACGTTCTTCACAAAAGATGTAAATAAATTTTTAATAAGAGCACATTTTTAATATTTGTAACGCCTCTTAAGGTAACGTTCATTGGGGGTTAATGTTCACAAAACCCCTTTTGTAACGGATCTCTACTCATTGAAAGGAACATACCTACAAAATTTCTAGTGTATAGGTGTAATAGTTCAAAAACAGGTATATTTATCTATAACGATTTTAACCCCTCGCAGAGCTCCTTGGGGTTCACAATTTGGATAAAAACGGAGCCTGATTCACATCTATAAGGGATAGAGGTAACCACATCATATATCTTCATTTTCCCGCAATCTCTCTTCGCGGCACGCACATTGTACACTTTATTTTATAATAAATATTGATTACCAAATGATCTAAATCAGCGTTTCTCCACTGGGTGGGTGCACCGTCCTTAGGGGGCATGATAACTCTATGAGGGGATTAATTTATTGAAAGTAAACAAACAAAATACATTCTGACATAATAAGAAATAAATACATATTTACAACTGATATACTGATATAATGCACTTATAAATATATCAGTAGAGCACAATGTATTTCATAATTAATTTAGCAATACTACTCGTAAGTTAAGGACAAGTTTAATAATTATCATTGACCCCATGGGCTTATCACGTATAAAATTATATACAACTTATACACTTATATATACTTATACACTTATCTTGATATATAATTTGTACTTTTTATAATTAATCCCTTAATGACCGATTAAAAGAAGTGTGATTTACTCTCCAATGACCCCGTTTTTCACGCGATGTATTAAAGGCGCGGGGTGGGGGGAGGGAGAGAAAAGAAATAAATAAGCTAATTCTCCTAAATAAGTAAATCCTTCACAAATGCTGTCAAGGTCTTTTTGTTGCATTTCAAAGCCTTCGGAATAATTTTATAAATAGCACTGCACAGAAAAGTTTGTACTTTGGAAAGACGTATATGTACGTACTGAGCAATTAATGCTTTGATTGAACGAAATGTTTATATACACCGGTAGCACTTAAGAGATTTAAGTGGCGATTGATTATTGTAGCGTTAGCGTCAAAGTATAGAATCATTGAATTCAATACATTGAAAGTGGGGCGGGATGAAAATTATGAATTGAATATAGGGTTCGCAAATATTGATAGTTTAAGAAGCACTGATCTAAATTGATGAATGGATCCTAGAGGGGCGTGATAACTCTACGAGGGAGGCTCGAGAATATTGAAAAGTCGAAAACAAAAGATTTTAAAAAATTATTAATGTACCGAAATAAAATACATTTTGTGGCATAATAAAAAATAAATGTAACTTTTACACTGATGTAATATACTTATAAATGTATCAGTACTGCACAATGTATTTTATAATTAATTTAACAATACTACGTTCAAAACAAGTTTAATAATTACCAGTGACCCCATGGGCCTTATATATATAAATATATACAAAAATTAACACTTATCTCGATAATTTGTACAGTTTATAAATAATCCTTTAACTGCAGATTAAAAATGAAGCGATTACTCCCAAAGTCTCCGTTTTCCATTCAGGTGTGCGTATGTGATATATTGGGAGGGGAGAGTGGAGAGAAAAGGAATAAATAAGTAAATCTTCTGAAATAAGTAAATCCTTCGCAAACACTGTCACAAACCTTTATTGCATTCCAAAGCCTTCAGTATAATTTTATGGATAGCATTGTACCGAAAAGATCGTACATCGGGAATACGAATGTATACTTCCGGGGCATTTGACGCACTTTTTCAGCGAGACGTATATATACGCTGGAGACACTTAAAAGATTAAAGTCGTATCGTAGCTTTAGCGACACAAAGTATTGTATTATTGAATTAACTGCATTGTTATTTATATGGAGGGTGAGGGCGATGAAAATTATGATTGAATATTGGGTCGCAAATATTAAATGTTTGAGAAGCACTAGATAACACATCTGTATACCACTCAACTCTGTTTCCTTAATAAGAAAAAGTGAACTGAACAATTTAAAGAAAATCCCAAACTAGCTTTATGAGGGTAACCTCGTGATATAAAACATTACAACTAAACCGTGTTCAGAATTGTACTGCGTCGCCAGTACTCTTCATGTTGCTACAGAAAGTGGCGTGAATAAGTAATCAATCGGAAAAAAAAATTATTTCAAATAAAATTCCGTGGAGAATTCTTAAATCTAGGAACTCATAAGAAGGCACTAAATGACTTATAAACTATCCCACTTCATACATTTTTTTTCCTAATTGTAAAATTATTGCTTTTAGTAACCTTTTTTGAATGATAGCCATATTCCCGCACACATAAATATCTTTAAAAAAAGTTAAGTTTAATGGTAAAAACTCATGATAACACTATCTTCTCTTTCACACACACACATATCTATTTAATCATATAATTTTGTAAACCTGTAGTATATATTTTTTGTGTGTAAGTATTCGTATATAGTTCTTT